TGGGTGCTCAGCACCTACCAGCCACCCTCCAATCAGCTGTTCAGCGGACCCCCCCAATCAGCTGTTCGGTGATGGGCAGGACATGCTGGGGGGAGGGGGCAGAGCATGGGCAGAAAGAGGTGGAGTGAGGGTGGGGCCTTGGGGCAGAGCCGGGGTGGAGCACCCACCTGGAAAAATGAAAGTCAGCCCCTGTGCTGACAACAGTTACATGATTACATTCAGTTGGGAATGCTCATCATCAGATTTGTGACTTGCTTTTGTAAACTAACACCTTCAACTGAGGAGACCTTTGACACTGAATGAATGTGCTTTGTGAAGCACAGATAAAGATAATAATTCTGGCACCCATACAAACTAAATCAAAGCATGTTTAAAAAGCATATGAATCGTATATTGCTGAAAATGGATGGACCTGAGCATGTGCTTACCTGTTTTGCTCCCCACAAGTTCTTTTCCTTCCCCACTTTTGCCTTCATCTAGTAAGAGTCTGGCTTAGCCAGCCTAGATTGTATATTTTGCAACACTTCCTGTAAGCAAAAAGGCTGCTAAAAAATGCCCTGGATGGTGCTGGTACCTTTGGGTGCAGGTCAGCTACCCTCCTCCTGGCACAACAGCAGAGGCAAACCCTGCTCTGCTGGCTGCTGCCACGTTAGTGCACAGAGTGGGGTGCAGGGTGAGTGCCTCCAGGAGTCGCAGCGCCTCTCACTGCACTGCACACACAGTGCAGTGAGGTGGCAGGAACCCGCTGAGGTGAGGTATGCAGCCGCCACTCACCGCGCAGAACACACATCTCGCAACCCCTCATTTGGGAAATGCTGATCTAAACCATCCAATATAAGTGATGCCCTCGACTTGGAATCAAAAGCCATAGAAGGTAATACAAGACTTTGCAGCTATCATTTTTATCCATCGCACTTCCATTGAATTTTTGCTCAGGGAGGGCTTTCTCCATCACTCACAGATGACCACCTATAGCTCCCCAGCGTATAGTCCTTTGAGGCACCACATAATAGCTACCATCCTTCCTCTGATCCAAGAGAACAGAACCAGACTCCCTTCGGAGCACAGCAGTAGCACTCCTAATTGGGCCAGCAGGGTAGCTGCTGAAAAGAGCAAGGCACACCATGCCCCAAGCCCAGTTGAAGAGAAGAACCCTGATCCCACTGAGCTGCAGGCCTTCTACCTTTTAGTTAGTGTTTTCATTGAAAGTTTCATACACAGAAAGCTGGGGCTAATCACTTTGCTTTCATACAGGTCACATCCCAGGAAAACATACAATTACCATTAACAGTGATATAAGGCAAAAATAAAACCTTGAGGTCAGGGCACAAGTACCTGTAAAACTTTATGCAGTGTAGTTGTAGCCCTGTCAGTCCCAAGATATTAGAGACCTGAAGAAGAGCTCTGTGTGGCTTGAAAGTGTGTCTCTCACCATCAGAAGTTGGTCCAATGAAAGATATTACCTCACCCACCTTGTCTCTCTAGAAAACTTCAAAGAGACTCCTTACCTTGTTTCCCCATCACGAGTTTTGTAAGTACTTTTGTAAAATCCATCAAAGCCATCCGCCAGTCTTGCATGAAACTCTATGACAACCAGGTATCGCTGGCCAGCTGTTAATACTTCAGGAGCCTGCAGGGCAATTTGCTCATATGTGGGATGTTCTAAAACTTGAAGCTGTTTTCCTGGTTTTCTGGACCGCAAGTCATCTTTGGGCAGAAGAACTGCACTGATGATTTCAAGGCCTTTGCTGTGCAAGATGATAAATCTAGTATTCTCTCTCACAAAGATCTCTATCCTCTCCAGGCCAGTAAAATGTACAGTAGTAAGATTAGGGTGAATACAGAGGTCATATTGGATTGGTACTACCATATCAGGAAGCCTCATCTTATTCCAAGGAAATGGCTTGCCATTGGGAGGGGAAGTTACATTGTCTTTACCTGTTTGATGTTTAAGTCCATAAATTCCCAGAAAATAAATGTGTAATAGTTGCAGCACTACTACCAATGGACATATTCTACAGAGACTAGCCATTGCAAAGGCATGCATCGAAAGAGCCTCTCTAGAACAAAAGAAAAAACTGTAGCTTCTTCTGGCTAAAACTTCCAGGTCTTGAAAATATTGTTTGCTTAGAATGCATCATGCACTGGCAGTAATGTAGTTTTCCATTAATGAATTCTCATCTAGAGAAAAATAAAACAGATGTCTTAACTGTAAGAAAAGTTTGAGCCTCACTTGTTAAATCTTTAGTCGTAATAATCAAGCTTCCTGCATAAAACACACAGGCAAAAATACTCAGTTTACATGTATTTAAATGTTTAAAATGACAAGAGGTGCTTGAAACTCTATGGGTATGTCTACATTGCAATAAAAGACCAGCCACTGATCTGGGTCAGCTGACTTAAGCTCCAGGGGCCCATCTGTGGGGCTATAAAATTGCAGTGTAGACGTTTGGGCTTAGGCTGGAGCATAGCTCTTGGCTTCCCGCCCAAACCTGAAAGTCCATCCTGTAATTGTATAGCCCCTCAGCCCAAACCCTGTGGGCCCAAGCCAGCCACAGCCATGACACGGGCCTTTCATCACACTGTAGATGTACCCTAAGTGCCTCAGACAATTCTTTGAAAATACAATAAAACCCCATCCCCGCAGAGACTATTCATGTGCTTGAAATTAAACATGTGTTTAAGTACCTTGCTGAATTGCAGCCTAAATAAACATATCAAAATAAATATACTATAGGGTTAATGTTTATGTAAAAAAAAAAAAAAGATGTAGCAAGAAAAAATAATTATTCCCCACTTTCCCTACTCACCCTTGTTACTTGCTTCATTGTCAGCTTTCCTAAAAATCTATATCTCACAGTGGGCCCTGAAGGTTAGCAGACCTGGAAGAAAAATTTTGCATTTCTCTGAGATTATGTTATTTGTAGGGGACAAGAGGAAGATTTCAACTCTCACATCTATTTCCTCTTAACCTGAAGGAGACAGGACTTGTGGAATAAGGTACTCACAGCAATGTGTCATTTCTCTCAGCAAGTCTTTATTTAGTGTTGTAATTTTAGCAGCTGCATTCTGGACAGCTTGTCCAGAATGCAGCTGCTAAAATGGTCGTTGGTGCCTGTCTATGATACTATCTCACTCTTCTTACCAAATGGCTCCCTTGTCCACTGTATCAAGATTAAACTATGGGGAATTGCAGAGGTGTGAATGTGGCCAATTTGCTCAGGGGCAAAGGGCTCAAGCAAGGTTCTCTGTTCACTTAATTAATGTGGTTTAGCAGGCAAGTATCTGGACAGTGGAGTGCCCTCATAAAAGTTTAGAAATCTGCAAAAGAGAATGAGAGCACTGTACAAATAAACCTCCTAAAAGAAGATTTAAAAAATTAATGTGTAGTTTTTATTATAATGATTCATTTATATTAGTTTAAGTAAAAAACAGGCCAAAAATAAATATTAAAGCATTGAAAGTGGAATATTTCTATGTGGTACATACACCACGTTGTTTAAAAGATGGCTGATGACTGCACTGAAAATAATTAGGAGCAGGAAAGCAATGACAAGTAGTTTCTACTAAGAGCTTCTTCCGCAAGCACAGAATGAATCCTCCTCCCCACACATAGCCCCCCCTCCCCCTTTTCAGTGCAGCTCTCTTACATGATCCATGGCATGTTCCTGTCTCATCACGACATCTTTTCTGCAAAAACAGCTTTAGATTTTTTTTTTAAAGCAAACACATGGAGACGGCTGTATATCACTATTTCCCATTTGCTTCTGCAGCCTTGAATTGTGCTGCCTTTATTTTCACTTTTGTTTTCACTCGGAGGCAGCCACCAGGGGGTTTCCAGAGTTTGTTCACCAGATACAGCTCATGACAATAATTTATCCCACTAATCAAAGCAAGCTGTGTGCGCCCATCCTACTACCCTGTGAGATTTAATAGCACAGAATCCTTCACAACGACCAATCGTGCCCCAACTCTTTGAGTGGGACAGAAAATTATAATACCACAGTGAGTCTATAATAAAGCCTATATTGATAGCAGCCACAGGTCAGAGGCTTATGATAGAAAAATCAAAAACAGCCTTCAGTAATAATTGATTTACTGTTTCCATTTATTTTCGAGGAACTTTCCAGTCTCTGTGGAAAACTAATCCAGATAATAGGAACCATTTGATCTGGGAAGCTGGTTTTCACATGTCACAAGCAAGTTTGTTTTTTTCTTTTTTGTCTATTAAGAAGTGTTATTGTCTGTAAGAACTTTTATTTCAAGAAATCAGTAGCCCATAATGACTGACTTGAAAATAAAGCAACTATTCTGCAACCAAAATTAACTCCCCAGTATTTCAAAGTCTAGCACAGAGGTGAGCAAACTATGGCCTGTGGGACTGTCCTACCTGGCGGTTAAGCTCCCGGCTGGGGAGGCTAGCCCCTGGCTCCTCCCTTGCTGTCCCCCCTCCCCTGCAGCCTCTGCTCGCTGTGCCGCCGGCGCTCTGGGCTGCCGGGCAGCGCCACTGCGAGAGCCGCCGGCCTGCCCCGGTGCTCTAGACTGTGCAGCGGCGTGGCTGGCTCCAGCCGGGCGGCATGGCTGCCAGTCCTGGTGCTCTGAGCAGCATGGTAAGGGGACAGGGAGTGGGGGGAGAGGTGGTGGATAAGCAGCAGAGGATCCCGGGGGGCAGTCAGGGGACAGGGGGTGGGTGGATAGGTGTGGGAGTCCCGGGGGGCCTGTCAGGGGGCGGGTGTGTAAAGCGCTCAGGGCAGTCAGGGGACGGGGGGGTTGGATGGGGGTGGGGTTGGTCAGGGGACAAGGAGCAGGGGGGGTTGGATGGTCGAGGGTTCTGAGGGGGGAAGTCAGGGGGCGGGAAGTGGGAGGGGGCAGAGGCCAGGCTGTTTGGGGAGGCACAGCCTTCCCTACCCGGCCCTCCATACAGTTTCAGAACGCCAATGTGGCCCTGAGGCCAAAGCATGTTCTAGCTGTGAACCAAAAAAAAATACATCCGACTGGACTGAATTTATTTATTTATTGAACAACAATGTAGTTGGCTTTGTACAAAAAGAAAGACACCACCCTTGCCTCAGGGATTTTCTAAAGGCACAGTCCTAAAGGTTGCTGAGTTCTACAAAAACAAACAAACAAAAAAGAAAATCAAAAGCACTATTGATCAACAAACAGTGTTTACTCAGTAGCTATTCCAAAAGGATTCTGCATAGCTCAGAGACAAATGCACAGAGCTCAGCACTGTGAGCAAACTCTTGTGGCTGAGTGGAGCGTAATGTGAGGTATTACATGGCCACAATATAAGGTGCAATCTAGGGAATGCAAATGATGTGAATAGTGGGCATTTAAAAGAGTTTTCCAGGCACTCCTACTGCCAGACAGCAGTAGTGGCAGCCATGGAACCAGTCACTGCCACAGAAATGCTTCCAAAGCTTGTCTCTCAGGTACAGTAGATCAGTTATAATTTATTAATATTTAAGAGATGCAGTTTTCGATGCACTGATCAGTCTGGCAGTCCCATATTTAGAACAGAAATGATCAGCATGGCAGCTGTCGTCAATGGGAATTTTGCTTAAGTGTCAAGCCCGAGAAAGCCTAGAAATTCAAAAGTTAAGGCTAATCCTCCGTCCATAACTCATCCCACAATGTGTTTGAGGGGAAAAAAAGCCCAATTCCAAATTAAAACTCTCAAGGGCCCAATCCTACACAGTGCTGAATGCTCACAACTTCCACTGAAATAAGTGGATGTTGAGGGCAGGAAACTCTAAGCTCTTTGCAGGATTAAACCCAGAGATATTCTCTCAGGGCCTACCCACAAGTCCCATTAGTTTTAACATAAGACAAAGAACAGTAAAATAGTAGACGTGAGAACAGGACTCATTCAGACAACGCTGCTATATGAGAGTCACAGGAGTCCCCCAGCTCACGGGACTTCCCCAGCTCGCAAAGGGCAGGTTGAAAGTTGTGCTGCTGTAGCGCTGTGTACTGCTCACACTCCAGTGCCACGCAGCGTGAAGTATAAGCTATGTGCTGACAGAGTGTTCTGGAGTGTTAACTTAAGCCCCGTGGAGAATCAAGACATCATACCCTTTATCATAGCCAATTGCAGATTCCCCATCCTCACAATCTACTACTTCTCCTAATTTCCTCCATGAACACTCATGCCAGTTCAGGACATAAGCCCAGATCCTCCAAAGTCAATAGGCGCCTAACTCACATGGATTTCAATGAAAGATAGGCACCCAAATACCTTTGAGGATCTGGGCCACCGTCTCTATTACTCAGTGGGCACAGCACAGCAGTATGACATGGTTTGGAGTCACTCATTAAATCTTGGGTCTTGAAGGAAGAGGGCCAACCAAGAGCCTTCAAAAAGGGTCCTAGATTTGCTTCCCTGATGATGTCAAGCTTAATGTTGGATTTTTTACCACAATTTGTTTCATGTCACAGTCTCCAATATTATCTAAACATACAGTGGTATTTTGTTCCAGTTTCTTAGCTAAACAGTTATCTCACATCTGTGAGATATTTTGGTCTCTTAAAAAAATCCTTGATTTTGGATTTGTCTAAGAGACATACAATTTCTATACTAGAGGAATCTAAAAAGGTAGAAATACGCTTATTGTGAAGCTTTTTAAAATGAAACTAAGTTGTTTTCATCTATCATGAACCTTACACAGCATTTTGTCTTTGATAGAAGTTGTTTTATATTTCTTAAACTGCCAAAGGCAAAACGTGGGGAAAGCTGCTTTTTTAGAGAACAGAGGAAATCACTGACCAAGAACAATAAGTAAGGTACACGGTGGCAGGGCTAGGTTCTATGCAGGTGTTAAGAAATTTAATAGAAGGCCTAAGTTACATATGTAACCCACTCTGGGACTTCAAAGTTAATTTTACAAGGTTCTTGTGAAATCAAAAACGCATGAACATGAACATACACACGCTCTTCCAAGTCTATAGCTACAGTCCTTCAATTGGCTTAAACACCTAAATATCCAAACAGAACCATATATAAAGACAAACACAAAACCAATGTAAACATGGCAGCCCAAATTTCATAAAAATAAACAATCAGATGTCAGGAAGGTTTTCATTAAATGAACTGCATAATTCAACAAGAACGATGTTCAATAAAGTACTGCAGCAATTATGCATCTGTTCAGATGAAAAAATATCTAGTTTGATTTTAAATGTGTTATTTCAAAGCATGGAGTAATACCGCACTCTTTCATCTGATCTCAATGATCTCAATGATCCCAGCTTTACTTAAGATTCTCCAATATCCATTTTGTTAATGTAACTAAATTTCTGTCCAGCCATTTTATATTCTTCTCAATATTCTCCACTGCAATCTGGGGTGCTCTCAGCTGTGACACTTTCTCCTTTACAGATTCAAAAAACAACTTCACCTATAAAAGATATCAATTAAAAAGGTTACGATCGGATCTGAAGAAAATACTGACGTTGCTGACAGTTTTTACTTATGAAAAAGCTCACTATTACCATTTGTGACACCTGTAAGTGTGACAGCCCCCGGCATGGCCAACAAACTAGGGACTGAATGGGCAACCTCCAGGGCTACAAGCCTGAGCTGCAACCACTTGGACTACAGAATCAAGGCTTCCTAGCTAGGGCTGTAACAAATATATATCTTCTGTGGATCTGGCACACAGGAGAACCTGTAACATACACTAACCAGTGGCTTACATAGGCACGCTACTTACAGAAAACTAAGTGATAAATCCCGGTCCCAAGAGTGTACTGCCTAAAAAAGAGCTCTAGCATGATTCAGTGTATAGTGTTACTACCCTGGACCATAACCTCAATTTACATTGTGTTTTCTCTGAGACTACACTTAACTTATTATTAACAAGCACTACCATAATAAGCGTTGTTAAGGACCAATGGAGAATGGGTCCCCATTGTGCTAGGCACTGCACAAACAGAGTAGCAGACAGTCCATGCCCCGAAAAGCTTAAAATCTAAATAGACAAGACAGACACAGGGCAGAGAGAGGGTTAGAACACACAAGCAGAGCAAACAATGTGGTGGCAGCAAACTTTATGTTAGTGACATGATATTTTGGGGGGTGGATTTAGGTAAGAGGGGATAAGCTAAATGGAAAGAAAAGGGAAGGGAAGTGAGGACAGGGCAGGAGACAAGAGGGTAAAACGGGCAGGTGTGGAGTGAAGCTGAGGTGAAGAAGGAGGGAAAGGGTTGGAGCAAACAGCCAATCAGTACAGGAGCAGAGGAAATGCAATAAAAGGTGTAGAAAGGTCTCTGAATGTCCCAAGGTTCCTGCTCTGGCTACGTCTGTAGCTGGTCCTACTGGCTAGAGTCTCTGGCTGGTTCTTCTCTGCAGTGTTTGCCAAAGGCCATATTTTGGAGGGATGGGGAGTAGGAAAAGAGGCACCTCCTGGGGCCTAGTGCCGAGTGTGGTGCCGGAGATCACGCCAAAAGCCATGCCTCAGTACAGAACATAAAGAGCCACATTACACTTCTTTCAGAGGAACAGCCGTGTTAGTCTGTATTCGCAAAAAGAAAAGGAGTACTTGTGGCACCTTAGAGACTAACCAATTTATTTGAGCATGAGCTTTCGTGAGCTACAGCTCACTTCATCAGATGCATACCGTGGAAACTGCAGCAGACTTTATATATACACAGAGAATATGAAACAATACCTCCTCCCACCCCACTGTCCTGCTGGTAACAGCTTATCTAAAGTGATCAACAGGTGGGCCATTTCCAGCACAAATCCAGGTTTTCTCACCCTCCACCCCCCCCCACACAAATTCACTCTCCTGCTGGTGCTAGCCCATCCAAAGTGACAACTCTTTACATAATCAAGTCGGGCTATTTCCTGCATAAATCCAGGTTTTCTCACATCCCCCCCACCCCCATACACACACAAACTCACTCTCCTGCTGGTAATAGCTCATCTAAACTGACCACCCTCCAAGTTTAAATCCAAGTTAAACCAGAACATCTGGGGGGGGGGGTAGGAAAAAACAAGAGGAAACAGGCTACCTTGCATAATGACTTAGCCACTCCCAGTCTCTATTTAAGCCTAAATTAATAGTATCCAATTTGCAAATGAATTCCAATTCAGCAGTTTCTCGCTGGAGTCTGGATTTGAAGTTTTTTTGTTTTAAGATAGCGACCTTCATGTCTGTGATTGCGTGACCAGAGAGATTGAAGTGTTCTCCGACTGGTTTATGAATGTTATAATTCTTGACATCTGATTTGTGTCCATTTATTCTTTTACGTAGAGACTGTCCAGTTTGACCAATGTACATGGCAGAGGGGCATTGCTGGCACATGATAGCATATATCACATTGGTGGATGTGCAGGTGCACGAGCCTCTGATAGTGTGGCTGATGTTATTAGGCCCTGTGATGGTGTCCCCTGAATAGATATGTGGGCACAATTGGCAACGGGCTTTGTTGCAAGGATAAGTTCCTGGGTTAGTGGTTCTGTTGTGTGGTATGTGGTTGTTGGTGAGTATTTGCTTCAGGTTGAACATTTCACATGATGGAAATCCACATTCAGGACCCAACACTGTTCCTATTGATTTCAAAGGTGCAGGATCAGGCCAAAATGAATGTGGGATGTCTAGCTCTAGACAAATTCTAAAACTATTTGCATGGTGTCGGAGATTATTCCTTTAGGGCTTAATCTTGTGAAGTGCCAAGTACCTGCAATTCCCACTGACTCGCAAAACAAAACCTAACTCTCAGAGATTGTTTTAGAGGACATGGTATAGGGGCAGGTCCTGGATTGGAATAGAATTTTATATAGTTGAACAGTAACATTTACATATTGCCCATGAAACATACTGTAGACTGGTGGGGTGACTGAGCAGAAATAAAGCAGATCTGATCAGCAGATGTAAATGGCATAATTTAAAAAATGATTTCAGTAAGCAAAACTTTACTCAACCTGGGGTTCACTTAATACTTGGGCACACAGTCTTCTCTTCCCACAGGCCCTTCTTATAGCTCTTCCCTCAGCATCCACAGGGAAGCTAGATCTAGCCCCTTATTGCTCTTGGGACCAATAAAGTACCCTGCCTCTGTCACAAATACCTTGTGAGGCTTTACACTAAGTAGAGCGTGCTGACACATAGTAAAAATCCAAAAACTCAAAATGCAGCACGAAGGACAATGATTTAAGTAGCAATGAGAATGCAGATGACTCCTGCTTTACTTCTGTCCTCAGACTAACCTCTTCCAGCTCTTGTTTTGAGGAAAACTGCGCTGTCACTCCAATTATAATTGTTCTGATTGAGAAGGACCCCAGAGGAAATCTGAGGAAAAGAGGAGAAAATTACAGACCTTATAAATGTATCTCCATGTAAAATGTTAGTAGCAATAAATGTGATCTATTGCTATACACATTAATATCAGTTCAGGCTAGTGGCCTGTAAATATTACTCTTCATTGCCACACAAGAGACAGGTTCAATTTCTATTCTTGGTCTCTTGTGCCTTGGGCTATCAAGGGCTGGAAGTGCTGAGTGCTTAGTCCCTGTGGGACGATGTGCCTATTATTTCCTATCTTTCCTGTAAAACCCCATTTCTGTGCTTCTGCTGTTAGGAGCTTTCCACAGTCTTCTCTCCAGGCCTTGGAGTGTTAGCAGTACTGCTCTGCAGCTATTGCCTTAGCATCAGGGCTAGTCAAAAAGTTGCTGTGCCCCTACTTCCCATTCATCAGTGGAGAGGGCTGGCAAGTGGACTCTCACAGTCACACATCCAGAGCCCCCTCCCCATGCTCAACCTCAACCCAACCCCACTTGCACACTGGAATACAGGAACCACTTACACAGCTATGCATGGAGTGTCTGGACTAGAGATGTGTGAATAACTGACATTTTGGTTTGCTGACAATTCAAATATATTTTTTAAAATTTGTTTTGGGTCAAACCAATTTTTTTTTAAACTTTTGGTGAATCAAAAAGTTGAAAAGAATTATTTGAGTTGAATTGGACTCAAAACAAAATTGGACTCAAAACAAAATACTTTGTTTCGATTGAGAGACTTTTGGTGACATTTAAAAAAAATAAATAAATTAAAGGACATTTCCGAACAAAAAGTTGTTTCAAACCAAAATATCCAAACATTTTGTTTCACAAATCTCAAAACAAGAAGTTTCATTTTTTTTCTAAAATTTTTTGTTTGTTTGGGATTTTTTCTGCTTCAAAACAATTCTGCAAAACTAACAAGAATTCGAAGTTTTGGGGTTGCCAAATCTGCATTTTTCACCCAAAAAAAGTTTTGTCCAAAAAATTTCTCCCAGCTCAAGGCTGAACCCAATGCAGTCACTGGCATATTCTAATGACACCACCTCTGAAGAGGTTCTTGTTTATTCATGGTTCTCCAGCCAGTGGGGAGAAGAGGCAGGCAGGACTGCCCCTAAATACCTGCTCTCTGGCTGACAGTGTGCACTCACTGCCTCAATAGCATTTTTTATTGTTCCCTCATACTTTCGGGAATAGTCTCTCTACAATGCAGGATTAAAACACAACTTTTCATCTCATGGGTCCCTGAGTTTACTATAGGTCTTCTCTACCCAGGATCAGTGATCCTGAGATTGAAAACTCATTAAGAAGAGTTACAGATGGTTGCTCATCTTTATTATAGAATTTTTCAAAATCAGGAAAAAAATTCAGAAGTTTAGAAATTTAATATAAAAAAGTTCAGAAATTTAATATAACAGAGATAGTCAGCATTTATATAGCACTTTCCATTCAGCAATCTCAAAGCACTGTGCAAAGGTGGTTAAGTATTAGCCTCTTTTTTCAAAGGAGAAACTGAGTCACAGGGCAGCGAAGTTCCTTGCCCAATGTAACACACTGAGTCAGCAGCAGAGCTGAGACTAGAATCTATCACTCTTGACTCTCAGTCCTATGGCCTAAACAGGCAGTTTCCAATAAAAACAGATCAGTTTTTGTCAGTTACAAATACTAACTTTTCTAGCAGTTTGCTCCAATTTTTCTTTACAAACTTCCATGCAAGATGTTGTCCAGCTGGATTTGTGCTGACACTATAGATAACTGATGACAGGTCTTGAGTCTTGATTATATGTCCCTCCATTGCAAGCTCCAGCAATCTAAAGCATCAAAAAACATCCCCAGGAAACCAAGAAAAGGCTAGGTTATATATTTATATATGGATACATGCTAGCAAGTTTTGAAAGATCAGGCCTTTAATGCAATCTCAGCCAGGATTAAAAAAAAAAAAAAGTATTTCTTGGTGACTTGCACTTACAGGAAATTGTTTTGTGTAACTTCTCTTTTCCGTTTTATCTCAAGCATTATGAAATGCTTCAGGTGTGCATAGCTACTGGCTCCCTACAACCTGACACCAGCTTTGAACACTTACTCCCTTGGACCAGTGGCTCAGAATAATAGGCCAGATGAAGATTGATTCCTCCTGTTCATTCTCTTAACTGTCATATTATCATGATGGAGATCAGGTATACAAGGAGGTAAAAAAGACATATATCCAGTTTGTGACTTTTCATAAGGGATTCATTTAAGGACAAATGGCTGCTATTATCTTCCTAAGAGATTTAGCGTATCATGAGTCCTCTATTGTTGTTTGCAGTGGTGTTGTAGCCATGTTGGTCCCAGGATATTAGAGAGATAAGGTGGGCAAGGTAATATCTTTTAGTGAACCAACACTTTCACTGACAGAAGTTGATTCAATAAAAATATTACCTCACTCACTTTTCCTCTCTGATTCCTCTATGTCATGCTCAGAAATCAAGGTATATACATAAAAAACAAGTAAAAATGTGTGTCCAGCAGTTACAACTTTCATATGAGTAGCCTTTGACTAGCTCATTTTGAGATTCATGAGCACCAATTTAACTATACATTGAAAGAAGAGTATATGAATAAACAAACAGTCACCCCTATATTACAGTTCCTACCTTGTTAGTTTTGCATCATCTTTACAGCTTGCCAAAGCTGAACAGATCTTTCTCTGTTCAGCACCAGACATGGACACTTTATATCTCTCCAAAAGAAAATTCCAGCCATCAGCTGTTTTAGATCCAACAGAATATATAGTCTCCAGGACATCAGAAGGAATATTACTAAATAATCAAGAATATAAGAAATACAGTTTTATTCAGATTTGTGAAGTAGGGTTTTTAATGACAGAAAAAGCAGGCCCGGATCTTACAATGGACTATACTAACACAGACCTTTCTCCTCCATGGATTCCACTTGAAATCAATGGAATTTTGCATGGATCTGCACTTGTAGATCCCAATGCAGGATCAGGGCCAGAGTGGGTCAATTTTTTCAAAACAGGGACTATACTTTCCTTTATGTTTCTACAGCAATTTGCACATCGTGAGTGGTAATAATAATCGTGAGTGAGATAATAAATAAAATACTACTACTACTATTAACAATGAAGTAGGAAGAAAATATCAAACAGCTAAAGAGTCCTTAGCCAGAAAGGGATTTTATGCTACTGTAATATAATGCCCCTGGCTGAGTTGTCAACAATGGGGAACTGAGCCCAGAACCTCTGGATCTAAAACTGTGAGCTACTGCCTGAGCTAAGAAACTGGTCTGTTAGCTCCAAGGCTGTACAGACTCCTAGACCTGTGTGTATGGTCCCGTCAGTCAACAGGGACAGACAGGCATAATGAGTAAGCGTGCGTTACATAACAATATGATGTATATAACACCTTTACTCTAGAACATAAGATTTTCTGTTATGGTTTCATTTCAGGAAACAAGAGTTTCCTATTTAGTTTACAATAAATTGCTTTTTTTCCAGATCTTATGTTGGAGAACAACCCAAAAGTATGGTAAAAGAAACCTAAGCAAAAAAGAACATTAGGAAGAATACAAATTATTTACGTTAAATTTCCACCCGATCCCATCCACTTGCTGAAAAGCTCATTTGCCTTCTGGACACAGGGAGGATATTGCAGGTCGCATGCAAGCTCGAGGAGAGCAGAACGTAGCATTCTATCAGAGATGGAGCCCTCATCACTCCAGGTCTGCCTGTCAATCACCAGCTTAAAATGCTGCAGGATGTACCGCTGCAGAGAGAATATGGCACAGTTCATTGACAAACAATGAAATCTGCCATCCTGAGCATATTCCAAAGTTCTAGTAAAAGCAGTAAACTCTGCATTAAGAGCAGTGTTTACATATTTCATAAGTCTATCAAAATATACATAGTTATATTAACAGGTAACAGCTGTTCTAGTTACAAAGGTGGTGATATCCATCTTTCAACTCTTCAGTGTCACCAAGAAGTATCATCAAAACAAATACAGATTAAAGTTAATAAACAAATACATGAATAAAACTACATGGTTAAATTCTTAACAGTGAACCTTGAGACTTTCTGTGACATCGGAAATATTTCTTCTCTCCATCATGTGATAGATCGCTGCCAGGTAATCCAGGCCTTGCAGAAGTACTATGTTACTGGATTCATGTTGGAGATATTGCATCAGATCAAGAGCTCTATCCAGTGATAGCCTTCCTGCACTGAGAAAGAGGTTGTTTGGAATAAGTTAATGTCTTTCTAATGATATACTAAGGGAAGGAAAGGGGTGGCAATGTTATTAGTAGTATTTGTTGCCTAAAGAGCAACAGATGTACAGAGTGCTTTACAAAGCACACACAGGTGTATTCCTGCCACAAGGATCTTAGAATCTAAGGGCTACATTGAGCTCATTTCAACTGTATGTGGTGGATCCTTGTCCAGGAACTGTTTACCTGGACGGAGCCAGGCATGGCAGGAGAGAGAACAAGTAATGTTTGGACCTGGGAGAGGAGGGCACTGCCCTTCCAGCTGACTGGAAGAGTGGAGAATATCTATACCCGTGCAACAGCTGAAACCCTCTTTCACATGGGTTGGGCTGGCAGCACTCACCCTCCCACCAGTGGGATCTGAAAAGGACAGGGTTTCCTCATGACCCACTGTGGGGATTATGCTAGTTGCCCTATTTCCTTGGGGGGCTGGGAAAGAATTTTTCCCTCACTGCCAGAATGGCCAGGGTGGGAAGGGAGTGGGCAGCGTTTTCTTTCCCCACGGTGGGTCTGGGACCCGGTGGGGTGGGGCAGGGGGTTAGGTTATGATGTTGCAACATAGTACGTAAAACTTGTGGCAGACATCCAGTGCACGTACTTGTTATGGAAGGATACGGTCCTTGGATAAAGTGGATTGGAAAAGGATTTAAAAGAAAGCATCCCTTAAGGGAGCCAAGGAAGGGGAATTTGCAGCTCCTATGTCTTGTATGGTGAGGAGCCAACCACCCTCCTTTTTTAGCCCCCTTAATCCTCATACGAGGGGAACATGTCAGGATCCCAGCAGCAAGATAGCTGGGACCAGGTTGGGAATTACGTGGGAGTGATTAAAGAAAGAACGATGACCTGCACTGTACAATGTATTGCCAGGTACTCCCAGACATTTTAAGTGAATAAAGTTGCGGCCTCATTTAACTACATCCATTGCCCCTTGCCTTTCTTCCAGCATGGTATGACTAATGCTTATGCAAGGGCATGAAGAACGAATGTGCCAGAAGCCTCCCTCAGCTTGCACATCCCGCCATTCTTTGCTGCAATCCCCGTGGGCAGAGGAGCATGGGACTACTCCTTCAGGGCACCTACTGGGATGCAAATCACTTCAGTGCAAGGAGGGAGGAGACAGAACCTCCTACCTCCTTGTACATCGGTTAACAGTGTCCCCATTCCCAATGTTTCTTTCAGGACTCCTTTCCCCATTTTATATCAGCTAAATTAATGTCACCATGCAAGACAGCCAAAGGGAAAGTCCTTTAGAAGGAGGTGGGAGGGAGGGTGGGAGACAGAGAAAGAAATTTACTCATTTGAAAAAGATCTCACTTGAAAAAGAAGACAATAGTGGTGCTCTGTGTGGAGACATCACCAACCTGTAGATGTGTGCTTTGCTAAATATCTAACTATTTTGTGCAATCAAAGGTAAGAGTTCAGCTATATTAATAACAATCAGAGGGTGGGTGATGAAGGAATTTAACTCAAAGAAGACAAATCCATCCCAGAAAAATTCAACTTGCAGGGAGGGAGATTCTTAAAATATCTGGCCCTTGAAGTCATAGGCAAAGTCCTGACAGCTGCAAATTGTGCAAAAGAATTTTTTTTTAAAAAAAGAACAATTACCTGACTAGCTGAAATGCATTGTGGATCAGGTTGGCTCGGTCCTTGTAGCTGAAGATGGTGTGGTTCTGATTCAACAGTTCAATGATTGTGTCCCATCCATTCCCCTCGTAGTGCACAATGTAATAGCCATTCATGTCCACGTTGAATTTTACCCAATTGACATCTTCCACCAGTTCTATGGTATCTGAGAGCAGAAAAAGGTTACTGAAACAGTTAAACATTCTTAGTGACATTTTCTAATGTGACCATAAATACTTCCAGGATATCTAAACTTCAGAAAGGTGATCTGAAATCTATGGAAAGATTGCATGGTATTAATCCTCAAACCCTTTTTATTGGTAAAAATTAATAAGTAACTATCCAGAACATAAACATAGTTGATCCAATTAAATCTTAAAACCAGACATTTTTAGTGTACGGTCATAGGTTATGTTTCTTGTTTCATAAATGTTTTCTACAATTTTTAATGGCAAATTTTAGCCAATTAAGTCTCTATTCTTGGAGACAGATGTAGACCCTTGCATTTCACCATGAATTCAGATTCCTGTACTGCTAGTGAGGTTGTACTGGTTAACAAACTTTCAGGTCCTGAGTGCTTCATTGATAGTATCTCATATGAAAAAATAAAGCAGAAAATAAAAATGTAGCTCCATGTTCATTAGTAAGTGGGATTGGTGGGAAATATTACAGTTGGCTGGTTCTTCAATGCCTTTGATTATTCTAAGTGCCTGTGTCAGAGTGTAGGGTGCAAACAGGTGAGCTTGCACTCTGATCACTCTGATATTAATTATTTCCCTAGAGAAAGCTTAAGGGGTAATTAGTCAATCAGGCTGGCTGGTGGAGCCAATTACTCCAGGAGCCCAGGGTTGATGAGAGGCAGCACAGGAAGGAAGTGCAAGGGTGAGAGGGAGGAACAGGGTTAGCCAAGCTAAGCCACACAGAGGTTCAGAGTCAGGAGACCTCTATTCCCATCAGGCCCTGGTGAGAGGGCTAAAAACTAGGTGAACATTTTAAATAGAATGTTGTATAGGGATTCTTGTGAAAAGTGCCGAGGGAACTTAAAATAAAAGGACACGGTGAAGACAGTTTCCGCGGGCAGAAGGCAGGAGAGGAGCCACGCCTCAGCACAGTGCCAACTTGTAAATACTTCACTTTGAAGATATGCTGCAACATTTAAACTGAGCATATCTCAGTAGCACCTAACCCTCATCTATTTGAAATGTACCAATTGATGTGCCTTTGGTAAAGGTGCAATTAAACCATCATACAAAGTGGTCTGTCCAGATCTCCAGCTCTTTCGCAAAAGCCTGTGGGATGTGGCACATGGGAAAGAAATCTCCAAGAAATCCCCTCATGCATATTTCCCCATATTCTTACATGAGGAGGTGAGATTTATGAAACAGGTCACAGAATCTACCCCTAAGGTGGATTGGCTGGAAGCCAAGTTCACACTCATGGAAACCCTTACACTCTGCAGCAGCTCTGGCCCGCAATTCTGACCACTTTATTGGAGCCACAATATCAAGGACTTCAACTTTCAGTCAGGTGCTGTCCTTAAAGGTGAATTTCCATTGGGGGAGATGGCACCCCAAAAAGATTTACCAGATCATCAAGATATTGTATAATGGGACCTAGAAATTCTCACAAACTGCACTATTGTGGTGGTAATTTCGTATCCTTGGGCACTTGACATTTTAAAGTAACTGTAAGCACATCCATTTTGAAATCCGTTTAGCAGACCAGAAGGTTTGGAAATTTTAAGATCTTCATTGTTGATTTAAAAAATAAAATCTAAAATGATGCCTGTTCTAAAATGGTGGCCACGAAGGAACCCTGCAGTTTTCCCAACTGATCTACCACAATTTTCAATTAACAAAAATATAGGCAACCATCACAGTGCTCTTCAGTTCCCTCTATTAGTTCTTACACTGTGGGTTCTCTGTGCCCCATTGCCTTCAATGGAAGTTCTGCTTGATTAAAGAACAGAGAATTTAGCCCTTTCATAGATACACAGTAAATAAAGCAATAATTATGACAAGACCTTTTCCGAAGGGAAAAATAAGTTTTAAAATGTCTAAGAGAGGCGACACAGAAAAGCAGAAACAATAACCTTTTAAATCTTCATATTCAAGATTTTCTAGCAATGTGAAAATGCAAGCAACTTCTATTAACAGGGATCCACACTCCTGGAAGGTCCTGTATTTGTAACTATGCTGGGATCAGGGTTTGTTTGTTTTTTTAAATAAGAATTAAGGGACTACAGTATAAGCAGAAGCATTATTAAGAAGGTATGTGTACAACACAGTTCAATCCTTGAGGGGACCATTCAGGAATCTGGGGCAAAAATTGGGGATTGGTCCTGCTTTAAGCAGGGGGTTGGACTAGATGATCTCCTGAGGTCCCTTCCAACCCTGATATTCTATGATTCTATTCTATTCCTTGAAACTAAACACAAAACAGGACATTGACAAGTCAATCTATACCTGAGTGGTTCTTCAGTAAATGTCTTCCAATACTTTTGGAGTGGCTTGTGATGTACGTCAAGGGAACATGCCAGAGGAAGCTAAAAAGGAGAAGAGAACAGTAAAATAACACCACAAAGTCAATAGGTGTTCAAATATGTAAATCAAATTCTACAAGCACAATCAGCATGTGCCTGCACTTGCCCAATTTGCATTGAGGCCCATTGAGGATCATGTTGGAAAATGCCTTTCAAGAAGCGTTCTTGTCTTATTTTAATTCTCTTCTGATTTTGTTCGACAATAATCAATGGAATTCCTTTCTGGAGTGTCCATGTGTTCATTATCTCCGCAATATCAAAGTGTTCATCAACATAATAGCTATGCTGAAAAAAGTGCAAAAGAGAAAGTTATTTACCCAACATTACTTGTCACTTTTCAGATATTATCAAACACTACTCTGAAGTCAAAAAAGATCTTAGTCATTTGTTTTAAAATTACAGGCACATCCACAAAGTATCTTAAGGAAAAAAGACAAATATTTTAGCAGTCTTCAGGCAAATATGTATTTAATTTCAAGATAAATACAGTGAGACTGATTCTCCTCTCTGTTACACAGGTGTACATCAGGAGTGACTCCTTTAATCTAAAACCAGTGTAAGCAAAGCATGAATCAGGTTCATTCATTGCATCCTTATCACGAGGCTCTCTGATGGCCCATTTAAAAGGCTGAACAAATGTCTCTACACAAGAAGCACTTGTACTAGAGATCAACCTGGGAGAGACTGGGTCTCCAATGCTGCCAAGATGACAACTAGTTCTGTAGGCACAACAGAACAGTGCTAGGTCAGGTTGAACACTCTGTTTTTCTAATTATACCTAAGCCTTATGCCTAACAGAGGAACAGCTGTTGGACCATGTTCATCAGTACACTTCAGTTGCGTTGTACCGCAAAGGTGATGCCAAACAGTTGTAAACCTGGATTAATTGGCCAAAGCAGCAGAGTAGCCACAGTGTATCAGTGAATCTGACCTAATACATGTTAAAAACTGAGAGCCACATCGTCCGTCCTTTAGCGCTGGTGGCCCAGAGCCCGCTGCAGGTGCCACTAAATTTCACATGGATCTTGAAGAGGGACACCCCCACTTCTATAACAGGTGCACTGCACTTATGTGGCTGCCCAACGGCATCCCCTGCTCAAAGGCAGATTTGCTCCATCAAGGATGATGTTGGGGACACACTGAGAATGCAAAGTCTACTCTTGATTTCGGCAAAGATGTGCTTCACCCACTCCCAAGAAAAACTGGAGTGAAAGGTACAAACAGCAACTCCCCCATACTCATACCCAATGGTAATGGACTCAGTCAAGATAAATCTTTAAAAAAATACTCCAAATAAAAATGGTGAAAAGTATATTGGAATTTTTTTTTGCATTTGTAATCACCTGAAATGCTATCAGAAACACAAGTAAGGGCACTTTTTTCACATGTGCACACTCACGCACACACACTCTGATCTGATAGTTTCCTTTTAAGTGGTCGATATTTTCTAGCCTGCTTTCACAAGTGATCACAGCCATGTCAGGCTGTATAATGATGTTCTATTACACACACATTCCAAAGCCCTGGCTAAAGTCATTTGATGTGACGATATTTGACAGTGGAACTCAGTGGATCCTTTTAAATTGATTAGAAAGCCTTGTTGGCCTTTTGCAGTCTCAACCTTGTCTTTATTTCTTTGCCACCGTTGTTTTCCTTTTTTCCCCCCGACAAGTTTAAATATCTGCAGTTGTTTATTTAGTCAATATTTTTTTTTGTCACAGAGATTGCCTCATAAAATACACATCCCATTTTTATAAGGGATACAGGTGAAAAGCAGATATACAATCTTACTCCATCCTACTTCAGCACAACCACAGTGTCAGTGAAGTAGATGCTGAAGTATCTGTTCAATAGAGATCTACATTAATGGTTAAATTACAAGGATGCAACTGATTAGTTCTTTCTGCACTAGTCTAATACAGAGAAAGCAGATAGCAATATGTACTCACTGCATTCTTAGCCACCTGACTTTTGCTGTAACAAAATTTACCAGAAGTAAAGTCCTCTTCTGAACATGTCTGTAAAAATACACATTTTCAAAACAGGATTAGCAAGTCATACTGAAAATACCATTTACTATAGTCCTGATTTCTTACTTCAGTGTTAGCAATTGTTATCCAGCAAAAGAAAAATCTCAGCCAGTTACCAACACTTAAAAGTCAGTTATCCCTGAAGAAACATTCTAAAGCCTTTAGTAATACTTTGAGTCAAATTATCAAAACCCTCTGGTGAAATTGCCCCTGAAAAACATGAAATATGCCTCTCAAGAAATTTTCTGGTACAACTGGTCACATCCAGAATTTGCCCTTTGTACAACTGCTGTTTAGATCAGTAAATCACCCTTTAAACTTGGTCCCACTCAAGTATTCACCCAAACCACCAGCAACAGTCCTACCTGTGCAATTTTGATTTCTTTGATCTCTTGCCTAGAACCTTAGACACTATAACTCAGTGTTCAGACTGCCCATTACCAGCTGCCTAGTCCTGATGTTCAGTAGCAGGCTGACTCCAATAGATTTTTATGACTAAAGCTTCTTGATGTGAATAAACTTGACATTGCTCATAAGCATGTCTTTTAAAAAAATGTTTAGAAGACACTGACTTGGTTTTTGGACGTAATCTTTACAGACTTCACATATTTTATAGTAGACCATAACCAGTTTGCTTCCTCTTTTTTCTTTTTTTAAATATGACCTGGGTGTGTTGTACAGCCCCTCAGGGTTCTCCTTAGACCCAGTGTTCTTCTGTTTGTATTGCACATGCTCTTACTTGTTTTCTACTTTCCATTAAGTGACTCATTGCTTGGCTAGTAATACTCAACTCTATTATATCGGAGATGCTGACTTTTCCTGGTTTGTATGAATGTTGTTAGTTAGGTTGCAGAATGGAATATTGGGTAATTTTTTTCTCCTTAAACTTGGTATATCCAATAGCTGATGCTTCTTTGTTGGGTAACCTTGTCTATGGGTCTGACCCCAGCCAAATACTTTGTTTGATGTACTTCCCATTAATGATTAAACTGTGAAAAAGGTGGGCTTTCACTGTGAAATTGAGAGAACAAATAGATCCACGCCATTGTACATGTAACCATGCAAACTGAAGCATTAGGAATAAAAAACTTCATTAAAGTCAACGGAATTATACCAGGGATTGATCTGGCCACTGGGCTAGATCCTTATCTAGTGAATATGGGCATAGCCCCACTGGCTTTGAGGAAGCTATGCTCATTTACGGCAGTTGAAGAACAGGCCCATTATCTTTTTGTCATCGGAAAAAGTGTACAAGATATGACCTTTATTCTCTCAAATGGATTATTATGCTAAGGTTGCTATTTCTTACCTTTGAGACCTAAAGACTGGACTAATGCAATGCTTTGTCTTATGATCATTCCAACAAAGTCACATCATAAACTCAGCTGATGAACAGCCCTGCAATAATTGTTTGTACCTGTTGCTAATTCCTCCACATCTGAAATCATATCTCGCACAATAGTAGTTCCTATTGTATCAAATGACGTATTGAGTTTATTATTGCTCTACTAGTCTTTAGGGCATCATCTCAGCAGAATCTATTTAATGATTTTTTTTGCTCCTAATGTTACAGTTCACATTGTTACATATACAGTGAAATGTGTCTATTTGTTCTCCCAACTGCACACTTACAGCCTAATCCAGCAAGGTGCTGACTTTGACAGTAATTAGTCACAATCAATGTGCCCTTTCATTCTGAAGCTCTCTTCTCTCTGAGTTTCTGCCAATGTGCCTCTCAAATTTTAAATCTGTTTGCATTTTGTAAACATTTTCTCTAAGTCTCTTAAAGATTTAAAAAGCCCATTCATAATGACTGACTTTCTGAACAGCTTCACATTGAGACAGAGTGCAAGAAAGTCACTGGGGTGTGAAATTCACTCCTATGCAGAAAGACAGCATAAGAGCTACACGCCGTGACCTCAAAACAAGGCTTAAATGGGATTTAAACTGCACATAGACCTTGTGCGTGCTATCTGCATGGGGGTAAGTTTCACCCCAGATGCATATGTATAGGAGTGTGCTGTATGTTAGCTAAAATAAAAGAAGGAAACTTACATTAGCCAAGCTGTTCCAGAGATCATTATTCTTTGCATTACTATAACTGTGTTTCTTTAAGTAATGAATTATTCCATTCTGGAACACCTCTTCAGTCAGAAAGTTCCGCAGCATGTGCAGAATGCAAGCCCCCTGCAGATGATTTGACATAGTTGAATCAGCATATAAATTCCAGCTGCCTTGAAACAGCCATAACTATGTTATACAACAATGTAAAATTGTTAACACATGGAGAATTTTGAGAACATAAAAGGTGAAAAGTCAAATAAATGGGCACCAAGATGAAAGGCCACAAGTCATTTCAAGATGATGGCTGCAGACTGTAACTAAATCACGAGCGTGCAATGAAAATAGGAGCTGCAGAAGGCCCCAAACACCACAGAAGCACTGTGGTTCTGATGGGTGGAAGGCCAGCTAAAGAGAAGGTATGCAAGGGGGATGCTGCATCACCCATGTATGGAAGAAATGGACTTGGCACTAGATCCTCTGAACCCAGTGTTTAGGGGAGGTTTGGAGACAGGCGAGGGAAGAGGTGCAAACTTGATCAGTGGATTTGTATTTAGGTGGAACTAGTGACCACAAACCCACATGCAGCAGGTGCATAAGGGACTATGACCCTAATTCTAACCCAGATGCTAAAGTAAGTAGCTACAGATCTGCCCTTGCCCCACCTGTCGGCTCAAAAGGTGGATTTTGTCCTTCCTCAGCTCCCACATAGCTCCCTGCAGAAAATAATTTCTCCTCAGAGTTAAATTTAGTGCTGATCTATGCCCTATTCAACTCTATTGACTTCATTGGGATTGGATGGAGTGTAAATCAGCACAGAATGTGACTCCCAAAGTAATTGATGGACCTAATATCTGACTGGACTTAGTCTCCCTGGCCAATAAAGCGGCACGAGTTGTGACCTCAGATGAAATTATGCATCCTGCCTGAAATAAAACGCTTTTGATCAGTCAAAAGGAGTTTAACTAGAGTAAGAAAAAAAGGAGAAAGACAACCCTGATGAAAGTCTGAGCAATAATCTAAACAGAGATGTCAGTCAGCATAAAAATAAATACACTTGCCAATTCAAAATTATACTTAACAAAATTCTGAAAGAGTGTAACTCTGACAAGCCAGCAAGTCAGAGTCACAGGCCAATTCACTTGTGTGTGAACATCAAAGAAATGCTAAGTGCACCAATTCACTCCAATGTTAATTTGGTTAAAAGGAAATGTGAATGATATTCTCTTCACCTTATCTGGAACTTGTTGAGTGCTACTGCATTTATATATATATATATATATATATATCCCTGTACTAAATTAACCCTAGATCAAAGGTGTGTGTTAATATTAAGATGAGAATTTACTAGATGAAAACTAATGAAGGATTGTTTCAGGCTATCACATGGTATTTACATTATGTCTACCCATCACACAAAATTGGAGCCTTGTAAACGTAAAAGATTGGTAACTTCAAATCATGGGTCTTTGTGTTTGACAGTGGAAATTCACAGACTCTGTTTGCATTTAATCAACAAAGGAAGAGCCCATGCAGTGAATGAATATGCCTGCCAGACTGCCTTCTATGGAAAGACACTATAAGAATGGATTCAGGGGTCGATTCTGTATTTCTGAACTGTTTTGGATTCTAACAGGGTGGAATACTGAACAAGTGGGCAGAGATCTCCAGAATTATTCTGGGTAACCCTGAGGAACTTTTGGAAATCTAGCAGATTACTACAACTCTATTATCATTTTGGATTTACAAACTTTAACTCACCTGTTAATGTATTTTACCTGCTTTAACCGCTCAATAGCTCTAATTTCTTTTTCTTAGCTAATAAACCTTTAGTTAGCTGCCAGTGTTGTTTTTGTGTAAAATCAAGAATATCCATTGACTGGGTAGATGACTGATCCTTTGAGATTGGGAGTAACCTAATGTGAGGTGATTTTTGGTTTTAATAACCTTTCATCACAAAGTCTAGTTTGTCTGGGTGGCAAGATGCACTGGAGTGCCTAAAGGGACCGTTTGTGACTCCATGGTGAGATTAATACAGTAATCCAGGAGTGCACATTTGTTACTGGCTTGGTGAAATCTAATTACAGACTATGCTGCCAGTTTTGGGTGTCAGCCCTGTTTTCTGACAGTCTGACCTGAACCTCACACTCACAGCTGTGAGCTACTTCAGACAGCATGAGAGATTTTGTTCTTTAACATAAAAGAAATCTAACAATGTAACAGGACGTTACAGAATTCAAGTTGAAATTTGATCTTCAAGCTTCCTATTTTGCCTTCACTTTACAAAAATGTATTCCCTTCTGGCCCCAAAAGTTTAAAATATTTTATGGTGATTTTTAGACAGCCATTAGGAAATGTCCTTCATTAAGATACCGTGAGGAAGTGTAACAGGGTACACTGAGTCAGGAGCTGACTCAGCGCCCTGTCACTGAAATCCTTGTCAGTATAGGTTAATTGGGACCTATCCACAAAATCAATTAACTAAGTAGAGCTATAGGGCTAATTTGAGGGGGAAGCAACTCTAGCTGTGGGGAACATATAAATTGAGAGGAAGGAAGCACAGAGAGGAAAGCTGAGAGCCCAAAGGAAGACAGAGGTGGGCAGGACTGACTGACTGCTGCTAGCTCTGTTTCCTTTCCCAGGAGCAAGTGGGGCAGCTGGCTGGGGGAGTGTAAATATATGTAGAAAGCTCTACAGGTGGTGGCCTGCTGTGGTGTGGTCTGTGGTTAAGGTCTGAAAGGACTCACAAGGGGACCACCCCTTGACAGGAAGACATTAACTATATAATCTTGTAAATTATTCGAACAGCTGTCCCATGTAAAGTTACTATTTTATTAGCTAATTGTTTTAGTTTCTTTCACAGTAGACAGATCATAAATTATAACAATTTAGAATAATTTGGCCAAGCATATAACTGTATTATGACAACTAAAGGCAGACCAACTATAACACTCTGGTGTGAGAAAATGATAGATTTTAGTGCATTTGGAACCAAAACGTCACCACTCATTTTTTCCCCTTAGTATCAGCACCTTTTCTCTCCAAGTTGTAACTTACACATAGACAACGAGATTAAATAAACAAATTACTTTAGTTATTTTGACTGTTATAAGATGATTTAATTAAGAATTTATAGAACAAATGAGAAACTACAGATGGAAATTCCATATTCACTAAGAGAAATGGAGAGACATGCTGAATTCTCTCTCTCTATAAACTTTAGGACACAATCCTGCAATGTGCAACTCTCTTTGAATTACAAAGCGCTGCATACCCCAATTATCAGTGGAGTCAATGGGAGCTAAAGGCAAGATTGAGTCTTTATGGCTCAGTCCTTTACCCACCGAAGTGAACAGACATTTTGACATTTGTTACAATGAAATAATACCCGGCTATTAAAGTGCTTTTAGTCAAAAAACTTAATAAGGTGTGATCTTGCAAAGTGCTGCCATTCTTCTGGTGTCAGTGGAAGGTGACGGTGCTTAGCATCATTCTGGAGGGCTCTTCGCAGTTTAGTTTAATCCTTAATCCCATGCCCCCCCCCCCCCCCCCCCCACATTTTGTTCTTTTATAAAGGCAAGTTGTTAATATTATGTCAATGCCAAGTTTCCTGTCTATGCTGCCCGTAACATTATAAACCAGTTATACAACTGAAAAAAAAATTGCCATTACATATGAATATGAAGCAGATTTACCTTGTCGTATGACACAGTATCAAACATTTCCTTGATCTGTGTTGGGTTTTCTGCTTTTGAAGATATGGGGCGAGATGAGTTCATAGAGTCTCTTCCCATTGCTGCAAAGCAGGTACCTAACAAATAATCATTCTGGAAGAGTAAAAAGATAGTAATTGTGTATTCGCTTCAGGAAAACCATATTGAATTATAAATGATACAGGCTACAATTTACCATACATACCACTTGCAACTCTGGGTATGTGGCATCAACAGATATAAATTCCATGTATCGAGCAAACCCTTCATTCAGCCAGATGTCATTCCACCATTCCATGGTAACAAGATTACCGAACCACTAAAAATAGATTAAAATATATTTTCAGAAACAGATAAAGAAGATATAAAGGAATTAAGACAAATGGTTCATAAAGAAATAAAATGTTCATTAATGGGTCCCAGACAGAGAGGAAGAATAAAGAACTTCTTCCAACTAAATCAATAATATTACTTCTGACAATGAGTGTGTTAAAAGATGTACGTATGTCTGATTTCCAATTAATAGTGAAACATCTCTTCTCAGTCACAAAAAATTGGCAAGTACATTAACAAGAAATCTATCAACAAGGCCAAATTCTGGCAAGAGCTGTGCCATGTCCAGTATCCCAACCCTAGTCTTACCCGGGACAGGATCTGGAATTGGGTCATTTCTTATTACATAAAACAATGATCCTACCACTCAGGAAATCACTCTAAGCATTCAGAAAGCTATGCCATCAGTTATCAGCAAAAGTCATTCTCTAACATATGGCAATAAAATGGATGAGTGCAGGGCTCATCATTACTGCGTGTTGTTCATTTATCACACCAAATTCTTAATCACCAATTTCTTTTTATTTAAATAAATAATAAGGGGAGTATGTTAAATATGGTATACTATTAGGAAAGCCATTACAGGACGAGTACTTGAATCTTTTTTTGAACATAAATGAATGTCACAGGCATTCATCTTTAGAATGTTTCACTGGTTTTATAAAAAAGTGTTAGTTAAGGCCAAATCCTGCTTGCCTTACTGACATGAGTAATTTGTTTAAAGTCAATGGGACCACCCTCAGAACTCAGGTGAATAAGATTTGACCCAGAGTTTAGAAATACAGTAAATAAGATATTAGTAAAGTAGCTTATGAGATATATAGATATTTTCAATATGCTAGCTCAAACAAATAGTTAATTTCTGTATCTGCTACAGAAATTAACAATTGGAAATCTACACTAGTCCTTAATAAATCAAAGCCAGACTAATTTATGAATCAATAGAAAATCAGTTTTTAATGTCAATGCTTTACCATACTGTCATCAGTTAATCTGAAGCCTCTTGATGAATCATGGTATTAATTCCTTAAAATGTAGTTCTACTTTGCAAAGTATTCAAAAATGGCAACTTCTTACTCAATATACATGCTCCTTGCGTTCAGAATCATAGTTATTTACTAAAGTGGCAAATATAAGGGTTTACAACTTTTGACACCTATTAGTATTGCAGAGCCAACATAGCAAAGAATTGGATTCTCTTCACTGATGTACATTGTCATTTCAGAGAGGGAAAATGTCTGTGTGGTTATATAACAAACAGATGATTAAAAAGATCTAGCTTAAATTCCCACCTCTGCGACTGATTTTTTATGTGATCTTGGGCAAGCAACTTTAAACACAGAGCATCCAAATTTCACAATAACTTCAAACAGAGCGTGGGAGCTGAGTGCTTCTAAAAGTCAGGCACTTAACTTCTGTGTATCCCCGGTTCCCCACTTGTTAAGAGAAAAAAAGAAGCAATAAAACTTCCCCTGTCTTATAAGGGTTCTGTGTGAATAGTTTATTGTTTGTAAAATGCCTAGGTGCTTTAGTGATGGGGGCCATTTTAAGTAGATAGAATTTTTAACTAAGGCCAATCATTTACACTCAGCAAACCTTCTGAAAGCAGCAGAATTTCACTGTTTAATCTGGCATAATCTGGCCAGAAAGAACAGTATTTTCTTTCTTTTTGTTCATCATCACCATTAATAAAGGTATTAATAAACACTCAGATCTTAGGGTGAGTTTGCAGAACTGGTAATTAGAAAAAGACATCTTTTCTCCTCTAAAATGAGCACTTTTATGACTGACACATTAGAGACAATGTACATGGAATCCATACTGCCGTTTTTACAGAGCCAATTTTCAGAGCAGAAATACTTAAAAATAAAAATGCTGTTTTGATTAATATCTATAACATATATTCTTCCATGTCCTGATGGATGTGCACAATAGATTATCCAAACTAGACTACCTGATGAGCAAGTTCATGTCCTATCACCATGGTAACCCAAAGTTTGTCAGAAGCTGAAGAAGTCTCAGGATCATAAAGCAGAGAAGTCTCTCTGTATGTGGTCAGGCCCCAGTTCTCCATGGCTCCTGACTGAAAGTCAGGGACAGCAACAAGATCTGAAAAGCAGTAGAACTTAATATACGTTGATATGTGGGACATTTGAATCATTGCTCAAGTCTAGTAGAGGAAATAGTAAATGAAAATGTCTCCACTATTGGTTTAATTAAGCTTCCGTTGAAACTGGTGGGAATCTTCTATTGACTTCAATGAGAGTTGATCAGGCAGTATGTGAATAGGTAACATGACAACCACATATTTAAATCTCTTCCAGCTACCAGAAATGCTTTGATGGTCTATTGCTTTCAATAGCTATAGGAACTTTCACCATACAGAGGAAGTACCTCTTTACAGTGGTTCCTGCCACCAAAAAATGATCAAAAGTGAAGTATCTTCCTGATATTGTATAATTTCTCTAATGTTATCAAAGAATAAATGCTGCCAAGAGAAGCAAGACTTGCTCAAAGAGACTATTCTGTAATTGTTAATCTTTCCAAGAGCATGAGAAAGAGGATTTGGCCACTGTAAAGTAACTACTTCTGTTTATCACTTTTTAAAAAAATGGATTCCCTAATTTACCAAACCAAATATCTGTATTAATAATTAGGCAAAGCATCCTCAACCGTCTCCCTGAGGATCCTCATAATTGTTTAGCCCTAAGAACACCATTTGCAATCACTTCCCACATTTATAAATCTCTGGTTCAGATATATAAATAAATAAATTAAATATACAAAAGTTAGGGAAATTGTGGAACTAACAGGATGCAGGTTATACGTCACTGCTCGAATATTTTACTTTTGCTGTATGCTTTCCCTCATTTTTCTGTATGTTTATTTCGATTGCAAGATCTTCATGGCAGGGATCTCATTTTCATACTTTTTGAGCAAAGCACTTATAGATGCTATATGTGACATACACACTCCTGTATTCACACCCTACTCACTATTGTATTAATCTTTGTACACATGCCTTGTAAGGTACGATTTGAAAACTCATAATTTGGTGCTCAGTATGGTCCTGATAAAATTTGTGTGGCAACATTGTTTGTGAAGTTATGAGATTCTCCTATATGATGTTATTAACATGTTCCAAACCTGACAGCCCTGCCCAAACATAAGTTGGCAAACAGGTCTGTCCTAAATAAAGGTATGCATGCTCTGCTTGTTCACAACTTAAATTCAAGTTAGAATAATCAAATAGGAAGGGAAGACAAAGTTCAAACAGGTGAAAAAAACAGAAGGGAATATTTTTCCACATATACTCTTTGGCTCCTGGTTCTCAGGTGGAAATGTTTTAAGAGAGGAACGGAAACTATAAAAAGGAGGAACAAATACTTGAAGGCACTTCTCTCTCTCTCTCTTACTGCCTACCACATTCACTGTACTTGAAGAGACAGAGGAAGCAGCTGTTGGACTCTGGGGAAGGGGTCCTGACCTACAGAAGTTGGTCAGCAAGGCTGCTGAAAGTATGTGGTGAGAAAATTTTGCTTTGAATATAATTTGTTAAGTTAGGCATTAATAAGCGTTCTATTTTTATTTTTCTTGTAACCCTGTCTGACTTTTATGCCTCATTACTTGTATACACTTAAAATCTCTCTCTTTGTAGCTAATAAACTTGTTTTATCTGATCCAGTGTGTTCAAGTTGACATGCCTGAGTAACTCCATTTGGGGCAACAAGTTGTGCAAATATTATTTCCTTAAAGGACTAATGGACTCAGTATATTTGCACTGTCCGGGAGAGGGCTGGGAAGTATGGGATATATGTATCTGGGGGGGAAACCGAGAATGGGCATGTACTGGGTTCACCCTGTGGTAAACTAAGGCTGGTAATAGCCAAGGTGTGGTTGGCTGGCTATAGCACACACATAGACATAGCTGGGAGTGACTTACATGCTGGAGTCTGTTTGTGAGCAGCAAGGCATTGTAAAGGGCACCCTAGGTTACAGAGCAGGAGTGACACAGCTACTCATTAGTCTGGATTGTTCCCTGCTATGACACACTATATAAATAAAAAGTAACGATAAATAAATAATAATAGGCTTAAATTTACTTCCCATCTTACAACCTCGTGTGTTATTGAACATTAGGCATAGGTTTCACCAAATTACCTTGTTTTGGGAGAGGGTAATAGATACCAAAATATTGCTCATAGAATTCCAATATCTTTATGGCAGCTTCCAGTGCATAATGAGCTTGATTCAGTTTCTCTGGAGTGACATATACTGACACCTGTTGAATAAATACAATATATACAACTACATGAAATATGGCTTAAATAAAGCAGTTGTTTGGCTGCTTTTCACTTCCTTTGAATTTAATTTAAGAATGCAAAATGCAGAGTAAGAACTATGGCCTGGATCCACAAAAGGACTTAGGCATTGTGACTGTCTACGTTTCAATGCATAACTTTTAGCCGACTAGAAAAATCATTGGAACAGCAATGCAATACACAAAGCCTGAGTTAGGTGCTTAGGTTCCCTGTATAATAAATGGGGAAAACTAGGTGCCAAAGAATAGTATTCACAAAAGCCCGTATCCTAGCCACTGAAACTAGCCAATGGGAGATGCTGAGGAAAGGGGTGTATTCTAAGCCCACCCTTCTCACAGAGCTAGGCACCCAAGTCCAGGCTGCAGGGAGGTACTTAGCTCTGCTAGTGGTCCACAGCCAGAAACCCTCTCCTGGTATCAGGTTCTTAGCCACTTAAGTCATTTCTTGTGAAAATGAGTTAGATATGTGCCTTACTCCACAAAAACCAACCAGATGAGGAGATGGGAGTGCCTACCATATAACATTTAGCCCAGTGGTTAGAGCACTCACCTGGGATGTGGGAGACCCAGACTCAATTCCCCACTCTGCTTGAGGAGAAACGATTTGAACAAAGGTCTCCCACACCAGTCAGATGTGTGCCCTAACCACCTATGGGCTATTCTGATGTGGAGCTCCCCGAATCTCTCCTGTTGAAGCTGATCCACTTTGGATAGATTTTTAAAAAGTCATTAGGTGAGAGAGAGAATGACTCTGTAGCCTGATGGTTAGGGCACCCACCTGGGAGGTGGGAAACCTGAGGTCCAGTCCCCCTGTTTCAGTAATTAAGTATTTATCCAAAGTGGAACCACTTCAAAAGGAGAGACTGAGGGAGCCTGACATCAGAATAGCCCATAACACAGTGGGTGAAGTACTCTCCTGAGAGATGTGGGAGACCCCTGTTCAAATCATCTCTCTCACTCGGGGGGAGGGAGGAAAGGAACCCAGGTCTCCCACATCCCAGGTGAGTGCTCTAACCATTGGATTAAAAGTTATAATGCAGGTGGTGGCAGCACCATCTCCTCCTCAATGCCAGATTTTGAATGGGACCTGATCAGGTAGCATGCCTACCAGATTGGGCCCCACAGATGAGGTTGGTGCTCCTCCATTTATCTTATCTTAACAGTTCATGCATCACACAGAGGCTTAGGCGGGAGATAGACATCCAGATGCTTAGAGCGAGACAGCAGTATGCATGCCCAGAAACAGAAACTTTAGGCATCTAGGGGACTTTTACAGTGAAAATATAGGCAACTGAATAACTTTAGGCACCTACAGCATTAGGAGGCAGTGAGCAGTGGTTTTATGGATTGCAGGTGTGACTAAAACTTGGACTTAGGTGCCTAACTACCTTTGTGGATCTGCACCTATGCCATCTTCCTATGGCAATATGAAGCATGTGTACTTGTCCAGATCCCATGAGCAAAATTTGCTGCACTGAGAACACACCAATAAACAACCAACATTCCATACCTTCTTATCCACTTTCTACACCTTCAGTATAGCTGGCAGGACCTTGATGTGGTCTGTTGGTTATACTGTGGATTTTAGTTGGGTGAACCCTGGATTTGATTCCTAAAAGTTCAACAAAGGCTAGGACCATTGTGTAGGCAGCATCCCCAAACTGCTGGAAGGTAAAAGTTACTTGATTTGCACTGCACATTGCTGATCCTTTTAGCCAAGTAAAGAGTATTGTTGACAGGTTCTGAAAGTAAGTCCAATTGTTAAGTCTGAGTGATCTATGCTGGCCACGGAAGGAAGGGAAATGGATGGTTTCTCAATTGAATATATAATCACATTTAAAACCTACCTTAATTCCAGATGAAGTTGTACCACTGACTGACTGGAAATCACTAACTATAAATGCTACCAAGTAGGTGCTCATTTTTACACTCTCTGCAAAGTGATCTTCAAACAGGTGGTTGTCTAGCTTTAGAGTCTTTACCTAGAAAACATGAATTGGGACAGACCACATATACTCAGTTCTGCTTCTAGTATGTAGATGCATTTTATTTTTCAATAAAACTGCCAGCTGTTCTTTGTAAGACTGTTCAACATATATTATCCAATGTGAAAGTTAAGCAGGAACTTAAGCAAGCACTGCGAGATGGGATAAATTACCTGCCTAACCTTCCTGCAGCTGAAGGATAGAATAATCAGGGCTGGTGAGTAAAGGACCAACGATCAGCTCAGAGATTTTTTTTATTTTTAATATAGGACATAATAATAATATAGGATTTGCCATACCAGATGATCAGACTATTGGTTCATCAAGTCAGAATATCCTGCCTGTGACAACAGTCCATACCTGATATTTCAGAGGAAGGCAGATAAATGTTTTTTGCAATGTTCCTTCCTGCTTTGCTAAATTTCTTCCTGTCCCCTGTCAGTAATCAGTTTATGCCCTGAAGCATGACTCATACATTCAGATTTTAAGGCCATCTAGTCTGACCTCTTGAATAACACAGGCCATGAGATTTGATTACTGTTATTTTAGCATATATAATCATAGATGCTGCTAAAGAGGTCACAAAATTACCCTTCCATGGTATCCGCCTCTGACATTCTACAGCAGTGAATTCCTCAGGCTGATGTTGCATGAAGAATTATTTCTTTGAATTAGTTCTATATACCCCCTTATTCTCATATTATTGACAATGTAAAAACAAGGGACAAAACAACTCTTTGCTTGATATAAGGAAATCACAGGCCCACCTTATTTGGTCTCATATAAACACATGAATAGCAACCACCCAATAAAGAAAGGAAGAAAATACATACATGAGTGCAAAGCACTTGAGGATACGACTGAAAAAATTCACCTTTGGCATATTAGATAGTGCACTACGTTGCCCATCCCTCCGAATCTTTATTGTATAATTTGCCTTAAAGGATGGTTCATCAAAACATGGAAATGCCATGCGGGCTGAAGTAGGTTCAAAATGAGTAGAAGCCAACAATCTGAAAGGAGACAGCAAGCAGCAGAATTCGCAAGAAAAGTGTTTTTCTTTACCAAGGTAAATTAATAAATCAAAACTCATTCAACATTTAGTTGATAGCCTATAAGGAAAATTGCTTGCTTAAAGGAAATCTAAACAGTAAGGTAGCTGTAGAGACTTTTCAAAGAACTTAGTGGGTGCTGTCCTTGAGGCACCATAGCTCAGAATCTCAATTGTACTTAGGCACCTAACTCCCATTGATTTCAATGGGAGTTAGGCACCTATATATCTTTGAGAATCCTGTCATTTGTTGTAACTGGGTCAGGAGAAAACTGTATTGTAACTAGGTTCTCTGACCATGACAAAATCCTGATACCAGGTCACAGTACAATTGTCCCCTGTCAAAATTACGAAATGGTTAAGTCATAAGAGAGACAGATCTGAACTATGTATCCATGCTGCCACTGACGCTATTTTTGATTCTTCAGAATAACATGTAATCTGATTAAAGAGACTAGGTGGGTGAGGTAATCTCTTTATCTCACCAACGGAATTTGATTCAATAAGTAGGGCCCTACCAAATTCATGGCCAAGAAAAACCTCATCACACACCATGAAATCTGATCTTCCTCCATGAAATCTGTTTTATTTTTGGTGTGCTTTTACTCTATACTATAAAGATTTAATGGGGGAGACCAGCGTTTCTCAGATTGGGGGTCCTGACCCAAAAGGGAGTTGCAGGGGTGTCGCAAGGTTATTTTAAGGGGAGGGGTCACGGTATTGCCAGCCTTACTTCTGCACTGCCTTCAGAGCTGGGCAGCTGGAGAGCTGTTGGTTGGGCACCCAGCTGTGAAGGCAGTGTCCCACCAGCAGCAGCGCAGAAGTAAGGATGGCAATACTACACCAAGCCACCTTTATTTCTGTGCTGCTGTGGGCGGCGGGCGGCTTTGCCTTCAGAGCTAGGCTCCTGGTCAGCGGCTGCCGCTCCCCAGCTGCCCAGCTCAAGCTCGGCGCAGAAGTAAGGGTAGCAGTACCGCAACCCCCCCTAACCTTGTGACACACCCCCACAACTCCTTTTTTGGTCAGGATTCTGACAATTACAACACCATGAAATTTCAGATTTAAATAGCTGAAATCATGAAATTTATGATTTTTTAAATCCTGTGACCATGAAATTGACCAAAATGGACTCTGAATTTAGTAGGGCCCTACCAATAAGACAAGCTTTCAAGCTTGTCTTCAACAGAAATTGATCCAATAAAAGATATTACCTCACTCACCCACCTAATCTCTCTCATATCCTGGGACCAAAATGGCGACAAGCCACAGCATAAAACATATAATTACAGAAGAAGTATTTGAAAAGTGACATTCTCCTCTCCCTTTTGGAACAATTAATTAGGAATTACTTATAAAGTCCAACAGAAATTGGTAACTCCGAGATGCTTATACAAGCGCATAGTGCAAGATGGTGAAAAGTTTATGAAGATATTTGCACCCTTATCTAGAGAGAGTAACATTTTCAAAAGCACCTAAGTGATTTAAGAGCTTACGCCCAATTTACTTTAATCAATTGCCTCTCAGTGATACTTGACAGCTGACTAAAATTTCCATTGATGTCACTGCAAGTCTCATACTAGAATCAAGATCAGATTATGAAATTGAAATCTATACTTTAGACAACATATTCACTGTTGGAGTAGAATGGAGTAGTATTTTACCCTAAAAGTGTATTAATTGAGGTTGATATAGTAATCAGTTCTTACAGTTTCTATTTAAATAGAGCTTTGGAATAATTGTTGGTTTATATTGTTGCTGTATTTTTTCTTTTCTGACTTTATGAAAAAAATTAATATTAAATAGTTATTTTTTTCATAAAATCAGAAAAGAAAAAATATAGCAACAATATAAACCAACAATTATGGTGTGGGAGACATTATTACATGAAGAGAGTGGAAAACAACAATAGCAGTATTAATGTACAGCAAACAAAATAAAACCCTTAGAGATAAAAAGTCAGCATGTTATTAAACTATTATAGCATTATTTTCTCCAGTTTAAAGTACAAGAACTTTATACTGAGATCAATATAACAATATGGTATGAAGTCTTTTGTAGCCTTTATTTACCTTGTTTGACCATCCTTAGTTTTGTAAGTACTTTTATAAAAGCCATAGAAACCATCTGAAAGATTGGCAATATAGTTTATAGAAAGGAAATACTTCTTATCCACCAGCAATGGCTCAGCATATAGAAAGGCAATTTGCTCATGGGGCGGGTATTCCAAGACTTTTAAATCTGCTTGGGTCTTTCCATTTTCCTCCTCAATAGCTGCACTGGTGATTTCCAGATGTTTGCTATGTAAGACTATGGTGCTAGTTTCATGTACCACAGTGACTTGAATCTTCACAGATCCCATGAATATTAATGAAGTCAGATTCGGGTGAATTAGAAGGTCATAATAGACTGGAAGAATCCAATCAGGGAGCCTTAATTTATTCCACGGAAATGGCTGTCCATTTGTTGCTATAGGAAAAGATGTGTTTTCACTGCTTCTTTCTCCACTGAGGGCATAATTAATTCCAACAAAGTTCAAAATGTGTAATATCAATAGCATTGCCACCAGCCACTGAAATGTTGTCATTGTTCATAGGATTTGGTATGTTAGCTACTTCAACATTTTGTTCTAACACTCAAAAACAAAAACAAAACAAAAACACACATCTTCTGTCTAGCGGAGACTTTCTTGACTGCTTATCCTGAAAGGCAGAAAAGGACCAATATGAACACTCTGTATATGTACAATCAAGTTATTTGGGGCAGAACTTGACTTATTTTAAAAATGTGTTAATGTTGCTCTGACAACTAGTAGGGATTTTACGCATCATGGACCAAATCCTGCAATCCAATCCATGCTGGTGCAGGGGTCTGCCAGCATGGCTCTGATTGCAGGATCCAGACACGTTTTTAAGTATTGTGTTCCATGTTCGGGTGAAGGCATCATTAAGAGTTGATTTTCACAAACTGTGATACTCAGAAGTGTGTGCAACTCTATGTATAGTTATCACAGCTATGGGAGAGTGCAAGATATTTGAATGAATTTTTTGTGCATTGGAGGGGGAAAACCCCGCAATAATTCTTTAAAATTCTGTTTGGCTCTTCCTATTTTGTTTTTGTATTTAGCACTGCCTTACCTATGTTTAAACAATGCAAGATTAAAATAAGAAATGTTGGGTTCCTCCAATTGTGAACTTGGATGATGAAAAGATTTAGCATCCCCTTAGCAGCCATGAAAATGAAGATGCAGCAAGCAGCCCTGAGAAACTAAGTAGGGCCCTTCCAAACAACCCAAATTCAGTACCAGAGTACCCAGTGCCACAGACCAGGCTGTTTTTTCAGCAGCAACAGAGACCCAAATGTCAGAGATCAGGACCCCTGCGAATGATGCTGCTCTAGCTTGGGTGCAGACATTTTTCTGCCTAAATGAATGTCAGTCAACCACCGAAGAAATTTTAAGAGCTGTGCAACTCTGCCACGCGTCTGCTTAACAGCTCTGGTATGGAGCTCAGCTACAGGGAAGAGTCCAAGACACTTGGTCAAAGAAACCTGTGATTTGCTTTAAGACACTTTATAATTAAGGCTATGATTTTTTCCACAGAGGTCGCAGAAGTCATGGAATCTATGACTTCCTGTGACCTCCATGAATTCAGCCCTGTCAGCCAGGAGCTGCAGGGTCTCCCTGTCGCCTGCTCCAGCAGGGGGACCCCACAGTTCCCCGTGGACGTAGGAGCTGGGTGACCCCTGGAGCTGCCAGCCGCTGCGGGCAGCAGGGCCACAGCTCCTGTATGCCGTGGGCAGCAGGGGCCCCCCACAGCTCCTGGCCAATGTGGGCGCTCCCCGGAGCTCCTGGCTGCCACGGAGGGTAGGGTACCCTAGAGCTCTGAGCTGCCACAGGCGCTGTGGGTCCTTCAAAACTCCCAGCCACTGTGGGTGGAGGGGGTACCCTGGACCTCCGAGCTGGGGGACCCTGAAGCTCTGAATCTCTACAGGCAGGAGGGGCCCCCAGCGCTGGGAGCAGCCCTGGTAGCTACCCAACCTCTACAGGTGGTGTAGGGACCCCACAGCTGAGCGTCCCATTTTGTCAGGGATATTTTTAGTAAAAGTCAGGGATAGGCCACAGACTTCCGTGAATTTTTCTTTATTGCCCATGACCTGTCCGTGTCTTATACTAAAAATATCCCTGACAAAATCTTAGCCTTATTTATGTTTATAAATACAAGATAGGTTAGATAAAATTGAAGGCTCAAAACTGCAAAGTCACTCTTAGAAGCACAAATTGTACTTAAAATGCTCAGAGGACAGAATACCAATCAAACTGTGCACCAATGACCCACACTAAAAATCCGCAACCAATTCAGTTAAACATTGTCTGTTTGTTACAAATCATCAGGACCCCACTTTTAAGCCTCAGTACCTGACTGTTTTTAATTTGTTTCCCAGACTAATAGAAGTAAAACTATTGAAATTTTATTTTGTACTTTTGCTTACAAAAGTTATTTTAATGTGAAGCTGAGTGAATAAAGAGATCTCCAGTTTTACATATGTTTTATTATTTTTCACAGTTTCAACTCACATTTTAAATTCATTCATTTATGAAAGACATTTTGCAAATAGTTACAAGTTATCAGGATAAAAAAACAAAGCAACAGTAATTCCCAAAATTTAATGGTGAATGGAAAAGTCTCCAAAATTGTCTTTATCAGTGAATAAAGAACTATGATAATTGTGATGGTCTATTGCCTCCCCTTAAGTATTTGCTATATGCGCCAAACGCTGTTTGCTGGCTCTAAGATCTTAGTCTGGCTTTCCTGCCACCCCGTCCCCCGTGCAGAGGGCACAGCAGAAGGCTTACACACCACTAAAATCTCACTTAAGGCTCTAGCTCAGGCTCTCACACATCCTAGGGAATGCTCATGTTTAAAGTAAATCATAAGGTTTTGTGCCTTGCTGATCAGGGCCTACTCTTTGAAATATGATTTAAGTGTTGCACAGGCCTTCTGATGGCCTTCTGCACAGAGTGAATTTCACCCTCAGTGGCTGATTGTTTTAGTCTTTCTTAAACCAGTAAAAGAGGCCTAGGATAACATAAACATTTTAAAATCCTGTAAAAATAAAATACAGAACATAAATAAAACAAGCAAATAGGTGCTACAGTACATTACCGTCTCATCTCTTTCTTTAACCGTACAGAAGGCAGAATTGTCCTTTCATTTTCAGTTTCTTTTCAGTTTGTCGTCACCCACTCTTGTTGAGACAAGAGGAGGAAAATAGCCACCTCTTGTGGCTGCCAATTGAAAGATTTTTAACTTTTCAGAAACAACTTTGCAATATTTTATCAAAATACAATCTGCTGTCCTATACTTAGTTATTTGTGAAACAAATGCATATATATGCTTTTTCTTCACAGCTATCTCTGAAACAGACTGAAACTGTAGTAAAACTACTTTTAAGGCATTAAAAGTAAAGATGTGTACTGAGGGCTTACATTTGAGGAAGCTTTAAAAATAGAAAAGGAATAGGACTTAGGCACTTACCCCCTTCCCAAGCTCATTTGAAAATCCCAGACTAAAAAAAAAAACCAACAACCTTGAAATCTGTACTGTTGATTTTTATTTTAAACTGAAGTCAAAGGTCTGAGGATCTACTCCAATGGAATTTTCCTCCCAAAAGACAGTTATAATCATGGGATGTCTTCCCTATTTCTGCATAGGATTTTTGTTCTATTGCCAAACAAACAGCAATTTCTGACACCATAACATTTGGTCATTAATTGTGCAGCAGAGAAATACTGATGTTATTGGTCAGTGCAGTATTTTTCATAAAGCTGTTCTGAAAAACAGTGCACTTGTTAGAAAAACAAAATCAGTATGGTATGAAAAACCCTTCTCCGTTTTTTACAAACACCAGAACTACCCACTTTCCTCCCCACCTTTCTCCTCCATGTCACTAATCCACACAATAATTAATGACACTCAGTAGAGCAATTCTACATATGATCCCTATATTTTAGAATTGTGTAACTTCTTTTGTTAACACTAAAGAAAGGAATCCTAGTGAATTTATATCAGCGGGTGACATAGCTAGAGAAAGGCCTCAAGCCAAGGACTGTCATACTAATCATATTGTGTAGGTATCAGAGGAACTATATAAAGTGCTATTATGCCCAATGATCACAGAAAAAACTAGGCTTGGCCACCAAGTTTCAGTCATGAAGTCAAACATATTGCAGCTATTTCTACTTGACAGTATGGCCCACACGACTGTCTCTTGGAGATAAGCAGACATTTTCATAGAAAATTCAATAACGCAAACTATTTCAACTCCTCCTCCCCCCCAATATCAGTACTTCAGGATTAACAAAAAATTGAGGCAGCCGTGATTCCCATATTGGTATGGGCACTGGATAGTATAAATCAATAATATGTTTTCAGTTTTGTAAAATGATGCAGGGACCTGGGGAAAGTTCTGAAAAAGAATGCATCTCAAGGCAGCTAGCTACTGAAGAGAAAGCAAGCTATTGCCAGAAATTTTTTTGGGAAGAGTTTGTCTATCCATAGGTATCTAGATGTTTATAACTGGCTCATCTCCATGTTACTGAGCATCTGTATAAAAATGCTGCATGTAACTTGTAAGCAACTAGTTTTGTTGCCATAGCTGCTCAAAAGTTTTTATGCATCAGCAACTTGGAACCCTGATAAACACCTGTTGCTTCTGATTCTCCATAAAGGCCTCAAAGGCTACAGACACCTGTTAGACAAGACCCAGATTAGAATCATAGAATCATAGAATATCAGGGTTGGAAGGGACCTCAGGAGGTCATCTAGTCCAACCCCCTGCTCAAAAGCAGGACCAATCTCCAATTAAATCATCCCAGCCAGGGCTTTGTCAAGCCTGACCTTAAAAACTTCTAAGGAAGGAGATTCCACCACTTCCCTAGGCAACGCATTCCAGTGTTTCACCACCCTCATAGTGAAAAAGTTTTTCCTAATATCCAACCTAAACCTCCCCCACTGCAACTTGAGACCATTACTCCTTGTCCTGTCCTCTTCCACCACTGAGAATAGTCTAGAACCATCCTCTCTGGAACCACCTCTCAGGTAGTTATCAAATCCCCCCTCATTCTTCTCTTCCGCAGACTAAACAATCCCAGTTCCCTCAGCCTCTCCTCATAAGTCATGTGTTCCAGACCCCTAATCATTTTTGTTGCCCTTCGCTGGACTCTTTCCAATTTATCCACATCCTTCTTGTAGTCTGGGGCCCAAAACTGCACACAGTACTCCAGATGAGGCCTCACTAATGTCGAATAGAGGGGGACGATCACGTCCCTCGATCTGCTCGCTATGCCCCTACTTATACATCCCAAAATGCCATTGGCCTTCTTGGCAACAAGGGCACACTGCTGACTCATATCCAGCTTCTCGTCCACTGTCACCCCAGGTCCTTTTCCTCAGAACTGCTGCCTAGCCATTCGGTCCCTAGTCTGTAGCTGTGCATTGGGTTCTTCCGTCCTAAGTGCAGGACCCTGCACTTATCCTTATTGAACCTCATCAGATTTCTTTTGGCCCAATCCTCCAATTTGTCTAGGTCCCTCTGTATCCTATCCCTGCCCTCCAGCGTATCTACCACTCCTCCCAGTTTAGTATCATCCGCAAATTTGCTGAGAGTGCAATACACACCATCCTCCAGATCATTTATGAAG